AACATACAAAGCAAACATAATGAAAGGTTGACTTGCTCTTTAAAAGTCTGATTCTAATGATGTAAATTATTTCATCCTTTATTTACTTTTATTAACAAAGCTGTTTTCGCTTTACTGGTTACTGCTGTGTGTAAATACCAGAAGAAACACGGCAAATAAATCACCCTAAACTGGATATCTGTCGCAGTGTTTTTTAATGAGAAGACAACTTCATACCTTGCTGCTCTAAACCAGTTAATAGCTATGTTTACATGGACATAAGTAATCGGATTAAACGGCCATTTGTAATAAAAATGTGTCATGTAAACTCCCCCATTCGGATTATTCTTTGTTGATTCAGCTCCATCCGAAAGAATTTGTAATCAGAATGAGACGGATGGTTTATGCTGATTCATAATCCGCACGGTGTTTAAACTGACCTGACTGCGCATGTGCGACCTATGTCTGCCTCGCGTATTTCCACCAGGCTAGATGCTAATAATATTAGCATGTCAGGAAGTAAAACTGGTCGGTGAGCAACACAACATTTCTACTAGAAACTTTCATCCCGGAAGTAAACCGGAAGTAGAACTTCTTCAGTGTTTAAAAAAAAAACATTTAAGGAGAGTTTACCACTCTGCGCATGTCAGTACTATTCTGAATAAAAGCCCGCTGCATGTAAACACTCATCGTGAACAGACTGTGTCCATGTAAACGATGCATTCGAATGATTTAATCTGAAAACATTTCAATCCGGTCAAAAAAATTTTGCGCATGTAAACATAGCTAATATCCTGGAGAACACCAGACTCTCCTTTGTAGCAGCTACCCAGTCGTTTTCACACCTATCAGGAAAATCAATATAGTCTCATTTTATATCGCAAATTAATTTATCTCGATATTTTTTAAATATCGAGATATCGCCCAGCCCTAATGAGGAGCAAAAAGGTCGTGTACAGTTGAAGACCCATTCAAGGTCTGAAGAGACGGGAGACATCAGACATGAGGTAAAGTTTGTGACAAGACCTGTTTTTTCTAACCATATTATTAAAAATGGACCCAGGATGTGGCCTCGTTCCACCCTGACTTGTCATCAAAAAGTTATTGATCTCAATTTGTAGCTTTAAGGCAGCGTCTCACTGGCTAAAAATTAAACAGTTGTAAGAATAAAGTATAAATTTATACCTGAAATTGTTCTGAACTGAGTTCAACTGTTGGAAATTTTTAAAGTCAATGGAGAGAAGCTAAAACTGGACAAATATGATCTAACTCATCAGAACTGCAGCAGAAGCATTTTGGATCAGCTCAAGACTTAAACGTTTTCGGACACCCAGATAAATGCATGCACCAGTTTTTGTGCATCGTTCTGGGACGAGATTAATTTAAGACTATTTTTAGTAAGATTTCAAATGGAAGAAAGTTTTTTTTAACTCAAACATTTTTAATGTTAAAGTAAAAAAACACCCTGATCAAAAATAATGCCGAGGTTCTTTACGTTGGAACTGGAGATCAAATTAACGACATCCAGAGGAAATTCAGAAGAGATTACAAAACAAAAGTTTGTGTTTGTCAACAAATGTAATAGCCATAATTTTCTGTTGATTAATGTGTTTCTGTGATGGTTATGAAGTCTAAACCAAAATCCTAATTTGATTAAATTTCACAGGTGAGTTTAGGTTAGAGAATTACCTTTAATGAACTGTTGTATCTCCATCTTCTACCTTTTGTCTGTGGCTGAGTTGTGGAGGCAACCGGTCCAGCTCCTCCTGGGGGACTCCAAAGTGTTCCCAGTCCAGCGAAGGTACTTAATCCCTCCAGAAGGTTCTGAGTCTGACCCGGGGTCTCTTTGCTGTGGGACGTGGTCCAGGAGGCCGCAGATGAACCAACTCAGCTGATAAACTCGAAATGATAAATATTGTGTGGATTTGTCAGAGCTGAAATGTTCTCGTCCTGACTCGTATTGTTGAACCGTGCGATGCTCAGTGACGACGGTAACGTTAACTTCTGACGGGAAAGGTGCTCTTGTTTCACTCGTTCCTCTGTGTGTGTCTTCAGGTGATCAATGTGGACGATGATGGGAACGAGCTGAGCTCAGGCGTGATGGAGGTGACCGAATTCGAGCTCGTCCTCCGCACCCAACGCCGGAACGCCATCCGGTGGCCCTACGTCTGCCTGCGCCGCTACGGCTACGACTCCAACCTCTTCTCGTTCGAGTGCGGCCGCCGCTGCCAGACGGGCCAAGGTACGAGCCCGAGTTACCTGCCAGGGTTACCGATCAGAACACACCTGTCGGACGAGGAGAAGGCTGTCAGATTTGAGTTTTTCTGTTCGAACCTGAGATTGCTCTCGTTCAGGTAACTCCGTATCCGAGCAGGTTGAGTGATCACCACTTCACTCACTTCTTGATGTTTGCACTGAGAGAAAAGTGACAGGAAAACCCGGAGAAGTCTGGAAAATGTTGAGGGGTTTTGGTTAAAGCTGCGCTGTCTCTGATGTTTCTCGTGCACGCTGTCAGGACCATGAGCTGCTCGGGGTTGGGAGGGGGTCGGTAAGTCTCAGGTGGTTGGGGGTGATCAGCTGATCAGCATTGATTGTGCTGTGGGTTCACAGGGATCAATGAGTGCATTCGTGTTGTGCTCCTTGTGTGTTTTCCTGTTTACACATTTTCCTTTGTGTCACGCAGCCGCCACGCCGTATCAGAGCAGATTAATGCCTTCATTAAATCACAGCTCTTCCTCTGTGGTGGATGTCGTTGAGCTACTGAGAGTAGCTCGTATGCAGTGTTGTATAAAGTAGCTCAAAGTGATACTTCAGTGAAAGTACAAGTATCTTACTATAAAATTACTTTGGTAAAAGTTAGTCTCCTTTAAAATTATTACTTGAGTAAAAGTCTCTGATATGCAATGTACTTAAGTATCAAAAGTAAATTTCTCATATAAAATGTACTTAAAGTAAGCGCATTAAGTAAAAATGAATGGTTAGAATTTTCAAAACAACATTTATTGGGTTCAATATCCAGTGACAAAAACTTGGAAAGTTTGAACAGAATGATGAAAGATTGATATTTAAAAAGTCTGATTCTAATGAAGTATATTCATTCAGCCTTGATTAACCTTTATTAACAAAGCTGTTAGAAAGCCCACATTGTTGTATAGTTGGCTTGTTTATGTTTACTGAGCTAGGTTGTGTTCTTTCTGAATTTAATAGTTCCTATGTTCTTGAATGCACCGTGGCTGTTTCAACGCTAGTGAACGCACCACTCTGTGTAAAGTGCAGAGCTCAGTTTGAGTTTTTTTTTTTTTCTCCTGACACGGACGGAGCCTTGTTGTTCCAGCCTGTTTGCCCTTTACTGGTTTGCTGCTGTGTGTAAATACCAGAAGAAACACAGTAAATAAATCACCCTAAACTGGATATCTGTCTCCGTGTTCTTTAATGGGAAGACTAGTGGCCCGACAACTTCATACCTTGCTGCTCTCACCAGTTAATGTCCTGGAGAACACCAAACCTCTCCTTTTTAGCAGCTACCATCATTTTCACATCTATCAGGAATTTACAGCGTCTCCTCTGTGAATCAACAAAGCTCTATTGTAACGATTGATCTCTACATACGCATCTAGTTTGTTCACAGCAGGAACGGCAGTTTTCACACGAGGCGGTGGAGGGGCTGGGTTTGTGAGTGAGAGTGAGGGAGAGAGAAGGGGCCGCGTGAAGTCGGACTGGGAGAACAAACAGGCATTGCCCAATCAGATTTCTTCTAATTTTATATTGTAGGAACGAGTAACTAAGATGGTTAAGGGAAATGTATCCTAGTAAAAGTACACATTTTATTAAGGAAATGTAGTGGAGTAAAAGTGAAAGTTGCTAGATGTAAATAACAAAGTAAAGTAAAGACGTGACAAAATTCTACTTAAGTACAGTAGCAAAGTATTTCTACTTAATTACATTACAACACTGCTCGTATGTTACTGAGAGTCATTAGCCATCCTGCGATGATGAGGAAAATTTAAATTGGAGCGGGCCAGTGTCTGGTTTTAAGGTTTAAAGCGATGGTGTTAAAACCGCTACATGTTCCTGCTGATGGCACAGATGGATAAAATCTTGCAAGATTAGATAAATAAATGAAAACTAAGTTTCCAGTCACATATCAGCACTAATTCCCTGTCAGCTGATCAAACACGACAAAGACCCCCCCCCCCCCCCACTTCTGTTGTGTTTGTGGTGTAAATGTTGTTGTGTTGTGTGTCCTGCATGTTTTGAACTTTGTGTAATTGTTCTCTCTTTCTTTTTTCTTTTTTTTCAGGTATTTTCGCCTTCAAATGTTCTCGAGCTGAAGAGATATTCAACATGCTGCAGGAGGTGATGCATAATCATAGCATCAATGTGGTGGAGGAGGCGGTGCAGGACCCCAACCAGCAGGGGGCACTCACTCCTGCAGGTACACATGCAGGCTTACAGCTTAGTGGTGTTATGTTCAGGTGAACACAGCCAGCTGTCGTGTCGCCCTAACTTGTAGGTTCACATGTTTATGTAGAGGAATTTTATTTTATTTCTGATATTGAAATCAAAACGTTAAGCAGTGGTTCCCAAACTTTTTCTGCTGGTTTATAAGAAAATTTCTGTCCCATCTCACATCTCAACCCATCTCAGGATGTGGCAAAAGAAAGACGTTTGGCCAGGGCTCTCTAACCTAGCAGTGGGAAATCTTTCTCCACTCCAGTCCAAAATGCAGTGTCTTTGAAACTGCAGCGTCGTCGTTGAATCAGACGTGACATCATTGAACTGTTCCTCCTCTGATGTGCTGAAGTAGGCAGGTGGTGTTGCACTGAGCAGGTCACAGATCCAGTCAAAGTCTTTGGAATACAGCACCAGGAAACGTTTCTGAAGAGCAGACGTGAGCTTTCATGCATGAGATCACCGAGTTCTGCAGCTTGTTGCCTTCAGTGAATGATTTCAAGTTCTCGGATGACTCCACATTTCCATCTGTCACTCGCTGCTGCCGCCTCTCAAGTTTACTGATGAATGATGTGACTTTACCTGCCAGATGTGGGACGTGTGTGTTTGTATCCTGCATCTGCAAGTTTAGTTCACCGAGTTGCAGAAACATGTCACTGAGTTATGCAAGTTTCATGAGGAACTTGTTACAGTAAAATCTGTAGGCGAGATCACTGCCCTCTACCTCCAAAAGGATGAGGATCTCATCTCGTAGTTCAAAGACCCTGGACATAAGACTGGGTACCTTTCTAAAAAAAATTGGTACCGGTACCTTCACTTTGGTGTCGGTTCCTGAACGGTTCTTTTTTCTGTACCAATTTTGTAATTACTATTGATTCCAACAAGAAGAAAATTACCTTACACATTACAGTACAAAGCTTGTTTTGTTTTTTTACTTTGGTATTTTTTCATTCCAAGCAGTTTTCTTACATAAAAAAATAAACAATTTCCAGGTCAAAAGAACAGCTGCAAACCAGTGACACGTCCGTGTCTAATGCGCACTGCTACACACTTTTCACTTAATAGTTTTTCTTTAGAAAAATCAACATGTCTGCTTTCTCTGGACACAAACAAGCCCGCTCCTGGCTGATGGTGTCTCCAGGAGTAGAAAATGTTCACTCTGAGGGTGTGGGTGATGCTTGCACACACATATACCTGATTGCCAAGTTTGATAGCACTGACATAGTGTCCCTCATAGTGTCCCTTTTTTTTCATTCAGTTATACTGCACCCCACTGCAATGGCTTTGTGCCCCCCACTTTGGTAACCCCTGGATTAAAGTGACTGAAAAAAGTCATCACAGCCCTTCCAAACTGAATAAGTAAACCTCGTTCTGCTCTTAAACCTGACTGTAGTTATAAAGCTTTTTTTAATTTTTGTATCCCAAGAAAGAGTTACGGAGGCATTTCTATTTACAGATAAAACCCCACTATTCAAACCAGTCTGAGGTCCAGTTTATCACTCCTGCTGCAACACTCAGAACTTGTTTCAATCCTTCACAATAAAAGACTTAAACACATACACTGAATGCTAACCTCAAAAAAGCTCTCTAAACATCTACAGTTTTGATTCTTCAGAATAATGGACACCAGGCTTCGCCTAGACCACCAGAAGTTTGGGAATGATTTAGAAGTCAGTGAATGTGTTTGAGACTCATTGTGAAGGATTGAAACAGGTTGTGTGAGTTCAGCTGCAGTGAGCGAATGAAGCCCATTACGGACAGCTTCAGCTAAAAATATTGCATGTTAATTCATTCGACCTTTATTTAGACAGGTAAATCCCATCGAGCCTCGAGGACTCCTTTACAAGAGAGACCTGATTTCAACAAAGAATGATGACAACAATGGACAACAGCGACAACAATAAAGTTATAAAAAGTCATACTCATTAGTTGTAAACCCAGTAAAGTGTACTCATAACTAGGGATGGGGCCGATTCGGTATCGGGCTCCGATACCAGTGTAATTTACGTATCGGATTTTCCCAATCCAACCTGCAGAGAGGAGATCATTACAGCCTCATAGAAAATCAATAATGATTATGGTATCGGAAAAGTATTGGTATCTGTCGATATCCAGATTTAGGTATCGGGATTGGATCAGAGGTAAAAAAAAAAAAAAAAAGTGGCTCGGTGCATCCCTACTCATAAATCAAATATAATAACAGAATTAAACAGCGGGGTTCAGGAGGAGGAGTTCACCACCTCCAGTTTGTGATGCAGCTCCTGGGTTCAGGAGGAGGAGTTCA